TGTAAGATTCATTTTTAGATTACTAATAAAGTCATATATTTTTTTTTATTTCATGTCCTAGAATATGACAATTTAAATAAATTACAACTTCCTGTTTATTCATATACTTTTATGAGAAAAAGACTGTATCTTTGGAAATATATTGGTATACTACAAAGTAGTTGAGAAAAACTCTCCATGTACAAACACGTAACAGGAAAAGCATTTCTTGGTAAAATAAAACGAGATTAGTAAATGATTGTTGTTTGTTAGTTAAGCACAAAATGGGTTATCTGTTATCGGCCCACCACGGGTATCGAAACCCGGTTTCTAGCGTTGTAAGTCCGCAGACTTACCGCTATGCACACGATTGAGAAGAAGAGCACGCGGACGATAGGAAGACAGCAGAGTTATTTGTCGATATACAAAATGTCACGTAACTGTTTATTTGTTGAATTTCGCGAAAAGCTACTCGAGAGATATCTATGCTAATCGTCCCTAATTTTGAAGTAATAGACTAGAAGGAAGACAACTAGTCTACACCACCCACCTCCAATTCTTGGGCTACTTTTTTACCAATGAACAATGTGATTGACCGTCACATTATAACGTTTCCAGGAGTGACGGGGTGAGTATGTTCAGTGACAGAATTGGATCCCGTGACCCGCAGATCTGGAGTTGAGCGCCCTAACCACTAGGCCATCAAGTAACAAGGGTAGATTTGTACGTTGTTTGTAATAATATTGAATTAAAGCTAAATCAAAAAAATACGAAACATGTCGAAAAGTCTTATTCTACTGTTAATGCAGTAATACCAGTAACAGTGAAAATAGTTGCCTGCAAATAGACTCGTCTTCTTTTTTCACTATGTTTTCCTTAGAGTTTTGTCATCTGGTACTATATATATATTCTACTAGTTAAATTATTTTTATGACTGGTATACAACAAAAACTCTGCCAGTGTATCTATTGTTAAACGCGGTAACGCCAATGAGTCACAGAAATCTGGCAGTTGTTACAAAGTTCGGTAAAAGCCTTTAATCTGATTACAGTTTAAGTGCCAAGAGACTGTATTTGGCTTCACTCACATTTGCGTCTTAAACTGAATCTCAAAAGTTTTTAATAACAAATAGAATAACTGTGTAGGTCGTTCAAGGCCAGAAGCTATCTATAAACAAGAAAATTCATGGTCTATAAAACTTAAGAGTTGAAGGACACTGTCGCCTCGGGCTTTAACCAAGAAACCTCCACCACAACGTCCTCTGTTTTTTATTATTATTATTCATAAATTTCAAACACGATGTTCACTGTGTCGCTCTAATATGCTTGTATCACAAATATGACTGCTTTATTTGTTTAATCAGCGGTTACCGTCACAAACATCGTTGTTGCTATTTTGCCACATATAAATATAAATCACGAAATTCATTATTTTTATTTTATTCTGAAAACTGTATTAAAACTAACGCTGTTTTGAAATTTACAATTTGACTATGTTTTGGAGCCTCTCTCACAGTCTTTGGTGCTTTTTCATTATCAGTAAATGATCACAATGTTTGTTTGTTTGTTTTTCGTAAAAACTTTGTCTTATGTTCAGAAGTCTTCATCATAAAGACAGTTTTATATTGCTTTCAGGAGGCTTCCTTGTTGTTGTTGTTTTTATAAATTTCTTTAGCAGTCACACTATTTTGTTATTCTGGAGACTTTACCACAGAATTTTCACGATGTTAATTGTAACATTTTATCCAGAAGTTTCGGAAAATAAACTAGCGTAATATTTTATTTAGAAGTTTAATTTCAAAGTTATCTGTGTTTTATAACATATATCTATATAACGAAGACCAAAGTTTTTATCGTAGTGTTTTTTTATATTTAACACAGGAGTGTGGATAAAAAAGTTGTTGTTTTTTGTTATTTTTTATCATTCATGAAGTTGCATCCAAAAATGTAATGTTTTTCATATCTAGAGCTCTTCGTCACAAAAACTGTCTTTTGTAGATCTGGTTCTTTTACAAACGTAAGTGTGTATTATAGTGATGATTTTTCATCACGAAACTAACTTACATTTTCTACATCTACTTCTATTACGAGTGAATTTCACCCATGAAGTTAGTGTGGTTTTTGTTTCTCAAAGATCTCCATCTCAAAATATATTGTGAATTTATATTTAGGACTTTCTCTACAAAGTTCATCGCGTTTTCATTTCTTCGGGAATCTCCACCGTGACTTATTATTTGAAATTTTCTTTTATATAATTCGTTTCATTGTATTTTTGGGAGACTTAATCACAAAAGTTACTGTTTGTTTGCTTTTTTATTCACCATTTACCTTCTTTATGCAAGCGTTTAATATTTCTATTATTATCATTACTAAAGACTCTCCATCACAGTGTTCACGGTTCCATCGCGAGGTTCATCGGGCTTTGTTTTTTAATTCAGGAGATTTCGACACTATGTTTAACTGACGTTGTTTTGGCTAGAAAGCCTACACAGGGGTTTGTATTGTGGCTTTTTTGTTAGAGGAAGGATAGTTGATCAAGCAGACGGTGGAATAAGTCAGTGGCAAATTTCGCAGAAATTGGGAATCCCGCTTTCGACAGTCAACAGAATCATCGTGCAGTTAAGGAAACAACTGAGCAGCATCCGGGTCGTTCTGGTCCATCGGAGAGGACAAAAAGGGCTGTCAAGAGAAGCATCGAAATGGATCCCAGATTAACGACTGCAGAAGTAG